GTTAAAAGATGTAAATCAAAACAGTAACTTTTTATTTTTATATATCTAATAATTATTTGTATTCATCTCCTCATCATCACTCCTGTGTTTCACAACACGAGGCACATTTCATCAGCAGGATAAAGTTCAGATTTGCTGACAGATAAAAATGGCATTATTCTCAAAAACACCGACGTCTTGTTTTAACATGTTCTGGTTAACCCACCTGAGGGAACTCCGTTATCATCCAGAGACGACACCAGACAGCTGCGCAGAGAGAAGCCGCCAGCGGGGCTGAGCTCATCCTGACATGTGACATAAGACAGGAAGAAGATCAGACTGAAGTATTATTACTCATATTATAATTATTTAGAGTATTTAGAGTAATGACATCAACCTGAAACACAGACAAATAAAACAACTGGTTTGTTTCAACTAAAACCTTCTCTGTTCAGTTTTGTCGTCACTTAAGTGTTTGTTTAGGACAAGAAATCCATCCTGTTCATCTATTTGTTTTATCAATGAATAAAAAACACCTTTTTTAAAGTTTTAATCACAGACTATAAAGAACAAAGTAGTTCATGTATTTGCGTTGAGAGACTTCAGTTGTAATGTATTGCCTGATGCTGGTTCCTCATGTAAACTCACCTTTGTGGGATCATAGTAGTGAAGGAAGGATGGTTCTGAACGCAGCACAAACAGTCGCACCTTCCAGTTCTTCCTTCGGTGTCCCTGAAGATTATCAACGTTATTAATTAAAACATTCATTCTAACACAATGTCAAGAAATAGAAACACCTCAAAACACCTCACAGTTATGGTCCCATGTTCCAGTATTTATTTTAATATTCCAGTATTGTGATCTATTAAACCTCATTAAACAATGTCTTGACCATTAATGTGTATTAGTTATAATTAAGTTTGACTCTTCATCACATGTTACCACAGGGCTGATGGAGTGTGAGTTACCTGTTTGAGCAGATATCCTCTTTTTATCACTTGTCCACTCAGCTCGACTGCAGACAGTGACGTCTCTGCCTTCACACTTCCTCTCTTCTTCAAACTGTCAGACTGGGATCAAACACAAACCTGATGTCAACCAAGTAGAATCTGCCTCCTCACATTAAGCAAGACAGGGATTAACTCTGAATTCAGTGTTTGATGGTTACAAAGATTCTTTTAGGGCTCGTCACACTGAAGTGGTACTCACGAAGCTGTACAAGGCAGTGGAGTCGTCCATGAACTGCTGGGTGAGGCCGGCGGTGCGGAGGGCCTCCACGCTCCTTATTCCCACAGTCCGCAGAAAATTCTCCTCCAGCAGGGCCGTGGCCAAGGTCACGGCGTCCCCACGGGTCCCAGCCAGCTGCATGAACACCAGCCAGTCCACTACGGCTGAACCTGACGGCACATCACACATTTATACCTTCATGTACATACATACTGTATTCTAACAGGGGAGACATGAAGCTGACAAATAAATCCAGTAAATTGATGTAAATGTGCATTATCATTGTTTTGGTCATTTAATTATAAATGCAATGAGAGAGAACAATATATTTACAATATATATAAATGATA